CATGTTTGGGTACTGCTGATTTTGAGGGTACAATTGCGAATATGGCTGTTGTGCAACTGGTGGCATATGGTGAAAGTTTGGCTGAGTATTGTTGAAATCAAACTTATTTTGCCAATTATTTCTACGTCTTCCACCTCCGTTGCCTCGTTGTTGTCCATACCAAGTATTTGTGTTTGGCTGCTGACCACTATACTGATCACTCTGACTGTTGTTGTTCCGATTTTGTTCGGGAAGCGGATTCGATTGTTTATTCGACTGCTCAGTTATTTGTGATCTCATTTCGTTAAGCTGCTTCTCCATTTTTTCCTGATTTGTGGACAATTTTGTGATAGCGCTTATTAGATTTTCTGAGACTTTGTCGTTTATTTCGTTAAAGCCGTCTTCCGGGTAATCGTCTTTTCGGCAAATCTCACGAATTGTGATTTGCTTCTTGGTCAGGTTGCACAGTTCCTGAACTGTAGTTGCAGGTGGTTGTTCCATCAGCTTTGATCTCAGCCAACCTGGCATTCCCTTAATGAACAGTCGTTTAATTTGTTCATTTCGGTTGTCATGTACAGCATCTATCCTTTCTTGCCTTTGAGCAGTTTCTCGGTGGAATCGTGCTGCTTCTGCTGCTGCAGGTGCTCCAAATATTGCAGGATCAATTGGGGCGACAGCTGGCAAATCTGGTGTCGGATACGCTAGCTGCGCTTTTGTCGTTAAGTTGACCAAGAAATTCTCTGGGGTATCTGTTTTCGTGTTGAATCGCAGTTGTTCTAAATTCAAAACGTGGATTTCTTGAAGTTGGGGGTTGCAAAAGTGATCCCTTAGGGCTATGAGACTCGCGGGAACGTTCGCTCGAGTTGCTGGTCCTAGTGTCTGGTAGAATCGCAGCGCGTTGTCTCGTAGGTGCAGTTGCAAGAAGTTCGCTTGTTGTGCGTTTGGTATCGCTGCTACTCCGATGTAGCCTTGAAAAAGTTGCTCGAATTCTGAAAAGTCTTCTTTTTCCGTTCCTCCATAGGGTTCGACCGAAACTTGCGCGTGTGCCATCGTATTACAGTCAAATGGATATCAGGATGATACAGTTGATGATAAGATACAGCAGTTATTCAATTTAGGCGGAACACTAGGGAGTTTGCTATTTAAATTAGCTCTTAAAGAAAGCTAGTAGTATCACTGATCAGATTTATTGATGCAATTATATGGTTGTGCTAAAGTTTCCGTTACTTGACTTCTATGGTGGGGAAACTTAATGATAATTATATCAATTTACTGCAGGTTTGAGTTTCGAGTTTTGTTTTAACTAACTGTTTTTGTTGATTGTTGAAAAACCTGTAGATTTGCTTTCTTTGTCTGCCTTGTCAGTAGCTCAGCTGCCCTGCCTTCTGACTGGAACAAGAAGTAGTGATGTTGTAGGTCACAATCCACATCTGCTTCTGTAGATTGGAGAAACTTTCAGCCCGGAGATGTTGAGAAGTTGAGGCTGTCTTCTTTTTCTCCCTGTCTGTCTCAGTTGTTCGCTGAATGTGGCTCTGCTTTCCACATCTGAGCGTTGCTGGGTGAAATGGGTTGTGTTGCCCTGTTCTGTTTCAGCAAAGTGCGGTTGTCGTTGTCCGCTCGTGTGATGAAGATTGCATGTGCCGATGACTTTTGGTGAATCCAGAAGTAGAATCTTCCGCGACAGTCACCATGTGATATAGTGTCCCTTCGGATGGCTGTGGACAGCTATATCGTCGTTTATTAATAATGTTGTAAACTGTTCGGATAGTAATTAGCGCTACTGGCTATCAATTATTATTGAATTGTATTCATAATTTATTTGTCTCGAGCGGTTAAGACTTATCTTGCTTTTAAGGACGCAGGATTCGGTTCTTAACTTCTGGGATATCGCTAGTCGATCGACGCAAGTTAGAGCATGATTGTAATATTTTATTCTGTTCGAATCTACCCAATTGATTAGTAGCTCGGTATAAATCTCCTCTGGTTGGTATTAATTACCATCAATATTTACATAATTAAATAAATATAAATGTATGAACTTCATTTCATTAACAAGGTTAATTATGAAATCTAATATAGCATAAGAATGCATGACGTCCTGTAGTGATGTCACATTCCCTTATTTGGTGGCACTTTTGCTAAAATCACGATCTGCACCATATGAAATTTCAGAGCATCTGTTTTCTGCATTTGTAGGTAGCTATTGTTTGTGAATGAGTAGTTAGTGTGTGAGACTCATAAAATCTAGGTTACAGATCGAGTCCTTCTGTTTCTTATTGCCCCTTATAGAGCTGCTCTATGGCCTGTTATCGCTAGTGTTTGCGAAGCGCAGTTTCGGATCTCTGTCAATTGCGGGCTTCTTTATCTCGCCACTTTTAAGTTTTTCCAACGTATTCTTTTTGATGTTTAACGAAAGAAATTTTTTCTTTTTTAGCTATAACTTATATTGCAATTGTTAAGAATTTTTTTCGATTTCTCAGTTTGAATTCAGGTTTCATTTCACCAAAATTGAAAGATGAGAGCCAATGTTGGGATGCTATCAGGGTTCCACCAGGGGCTGGAAATATGGCCACCAATTATGAGTACCCAAATTCTTCTAGTTGATTTTTTCAAAAATTTTCAGAAAACCTAAATTGAAAAAAAAATACAAAATTCAAAAATCCCAACCCAGTAGTTGAGCCTGTCAGGGTACTACCAGGTTTGCGAATCTTGCCTTCGAATATGACTGCTCAAATTTTTGTAGTTTTTTTATATGACGTTTGTATGTTTTCCAAAATTTTCAGAAATTTTAGATTCAGAAAAAATTCGAAAAAAATTGATATTCCCAACACTGTAGATGGGTACAGTCAGGGTACTTTCAGGGATTGCGATTCTTCCGTCCAAATATGACTGCTCAAATCCGTGTAGTTTTGGAGATGTGACGTTTTCATGATTTTTCCAACGTTTTCAGAAAATTTCGATTCAGAAAAATACAAAAAAAGGCAATTTGCTGTAGATGGGTACTTTCAGGGTTTGCGATTCTTGCCTGCAAATATGACTGCTCAAATACTCGTAGTTTTTGTGATATTACATTTTTGTGTTTTTTTTTTTTTAATTAGTTCAAAATTTTAAAATTTCCAGCTCTGTAGTTGGGTAATTTGAGGATATTCCCAGGGGTTGGGAATCTTGCCTCCAAATCTGACCGGTCAAATCCTTCTAGTTTATGAGAAAGGACGTTTTTTATTGTTTTTTTCTTTTTTCAGAAAACTTAGGTTTAAAAAAGTTCAAAAAATTTGAAATTCCCAGCTCTGTAGTTGGGTACTATGAGGATAGTCTCAGGGGTTGCGAATCTTGCCTCCACATATGGCTGCTCAAATTTTTGTAGTTTTCAAGATATGACGTTTTTTATGATTTTTTCTAAAATTTTTTCTAAAATTTAAACTAGATTTGAACAGGTCAAAAAATCTAATAATACTTAACCTGTTGTTGGATACTGTGAGTGTACACTCTGGGGTTGCAAATCTTGCGTGCAAATGCGACTGCTTTCAAAATGCGACAGCTCTTGCGTCCAAATGCGACTGAATGCTGCCAAGGTAGTCTCAGGGTTGCCAATCTTTCCTCCAAATGTGACTGCTGAATTAGTTCTCAAGATACAACATTTTTCCCAATGTTTTTACCGCAACTTGAATTTAAAAACTTGACAAATGTCTAGCCCTTTAGTGGAGCAATCTCAGGTTACTCTCAGTGGTAGGAAATCTTACCTCCAAATTTGACTGTTCAGGCTCTCTAAAGTAAAAAAAAAACTGTTTCCGAGATATGCCGTTTTTTATGATTCGTCAAAATTCGAAGCAGCGGAGGTGCGCTACAAGCTTCATTCTCAGGGTTGCGAATCTCCACTCCAGTTATGACTGCTCAAATCCTTTTGGTTCTCGAGATATGACGTTTTTTATGATTTTTTTCGATTAAATTTGAAATTCCCAACCCTTTAATTGGGTACTGTGAAGGTAATTTCAGGGCTTGCAAATCTTGCGTCCAAGGGCGACTGCCCAAATGCCTTTAATTTTCAAAGGTTATCTGTAGAAAACTTCAGAAAATTTGAAATTCGCAACCTTATCGTGAGACAACTTTATCGTCGAGGTACTCTCAGGCGGTGCGAATCTTGCCTCCAAATACGAATGCTCAAATCCTTTTAATTAACGGTATTTGACCTTTCAATGGTTTTTCAAAATTTGAAAAGTAATTATGTGCTGTCAGGGTGCACCCAGAGGTTGCAGATCTTGTTCCCAATTTCTGCTCATGTTTTTGAGTTGTAAAAATTTCGAAGCACTGGAAGTGCGTTACACGCTGGTTGTTATATAAGTTTATTAGCCCCCGGCCTGATCAGTGCAGGGCCAACCGTGGGGGAGGGGGAGATGTCATCCATTTCGCCGCAGCCGTCCCACCTTGAGGAGGCGGATGACACTGGGACCCCTCCAGCCGCGACTGGGACCCCTCCCTTAAATAAGTTCGGATCAGGGGCGGATCTAGGATTTTCTCGAGGGGGGGGGCGGATTTTCAAAAAATTTTCCAAAATTTTGACGACCTTTTTTTTTTTTTTAGGTCGACCAAATTGATTTTTCGAGCTCTCCCAAAGCACTGTTTTGCCCCTATTTTGGCAAAGTTTTCCGCGCCGTAGGCAAATTTTTGAAAAAACAGTCAAAAAAAGCCGTTTTTGGGCTATTTTTGAAAAATTTTGACCAAAAAATAGCGTTTTTTTGGCGCGCGCTCCCCCTCAAAGTTAGTATATATTGGCGCCTAAGGCGCCTTTAGAAAAATTTTAGGGTCGGTCGGCCAAAAATGGATTTCTGAAAAAGTATCAAAGGGAGGTCGGCAGGGGGTCGAATCCCTGAGGGGGGGGGGGGGGGCGTCCACCCCCCCCCCCCCCTGCCCCCTCCTAAATCCGCCCCTGGTTCGGATGTTTGACATAGCGGATGTTTGAGATAATTGACGTTTGCCCTAGACCCAGTTGTCGGATAATTTACTCAATTTAATTTCCGTTTTAGCCTGCGTTATTTACAAGGCTTGAACGAGGGAAAGCAGATAGCCCTATTTGTAGCTCTATTCGTGTTCGTATCTCAGCCAATTTCGTGGGGCTACATCGTTCTGAATGTAAGTGCGGGCTTTCTCTATGGATTCATTGGTGGTATCATTGTGGTGTGTGTATCTTCCTCTATCGGCATATCTACTGTCCACTTCGCTAACAGGTTTGTCTCAATTTCTAACAGATAATTATTAAATCACACACTAATATTTTGATAAACGAGACGAAACTAACTGTATCAAGAACCTCTATCATCAAAAATACAAAAGTACTGAATAAATGTCCAGAGATCAAGGCGTACTGCTGGATTCCGCTTTTAATATCTTGGTTCCTATTTTACATTAACATTAATTACAAAGTTGTTTGCCTTATCTTTGACCTCAAGCGACTTTTAAGGCCGAAATAATGCGCTTTTTTTAGGTGAACTAAAATATGTGAAAATTTTACGTACCGAATTGAGTGCAAAACTGATTTCCGACATCAAAATGAGAAGTTTAAGGTTAGTTAACATCAATCAGAGTCGATGATGAAAAGGGATTTTGCTGTCAATTTGGCATTAACAATATCTACAAGGCTAAATATTTCCATTGTGACTGGAAGAAAAACAAAAACATGACTGTCTTTGTTACCTGCCAGTTTTTAGTAGCTTAAAATATCAAAGTCACTCAGTTCAACAAATTCATTTACTGTTCATTTACTGTAAGTATCTGTGGCCTGCATGAGATCTATGGGTGTCCTTATTAAGTGTCTGTTGACGTTGTGGTGGTGGTTGTGTTTCAGAGTGTGTTTCAAACAGTGTCTATCGAAAGTGATCACCAAGTTGCCTCAGAGAGTGACGCCGATGATGGATCTGCTGAAGACGAAACACGCCTTCAAACTGGTTCTTCTCTCTCGGCTCACCCCCCTCCCCTTCGGCCTGATGAATGCATTCTTCGCTGTGAGTGAAGTGTCCAACTGCAACTACATTGTAGCCTCAGTGCTAGGTCTCTTGCCAACCCAAGCAATCAACGCATACATTGGTACGGCAGAATAAAACAAAAATTATTTTCTTTTAAATCCGAAGAAAGTGAGAAATAAACGTAATTCAGGTGGTTCAAATGTAAAAAGATATTCACTTGCAATCCTTTTTGGGAAAGCTCTGCGTGTTAACTTGAGCGTAGCGTAGTGTTATAGTATGATGCAGGTCTCTTCCAACCTAGGTGGCTAAGTAGTAGTGTTACTTTTGGTGTCATTTTTGAATCGGTGTGATGCATTAGGAGTGTAATCACGTGTGCTTTGGCATTTGAATAATAAAAAGCTATCATAGCTGATGCTTTTGAATTTCATCAATTGAACCGAAAAAAAGCTATTTATCTCATACAGCATTTAAAATCCTTATTGAAAAAATTTTCAACACGATATTCTTGTATTTCAACTGCGAGATTTTTGCAATTTTAGATAATTTTTTACCCTTGCAATTAGCAAGGTTTTTGCAATCGGGTACTAGACGTTTTTTCCGTAAATAATTTTGTTCAGCATTGGAAACTTCATAGCATCTGTTCTCTGCTTTATTTGTGGCTAGTGTTTGTGATCATGAAGCGTCCGTGACTGAGTGGTTAGTATGTGAGACTCATAATCTCTAGGTTGCAGATAGAATCCCAGAAGTAGCCGAATTTTTTTAAAACTAATTCTAGGCTTCTTTCTGTTTTTCTATTGCACTTTTTAGGGCTGAATTTGGTTTATAATTTATCGGCTTCTTAACTTAATTTTGGTTCATTTGAGGGAAACATAGTTTGTTTGTTTTTCTTCTTACCGCACAAAACGTTAAAAATCTCAGTATAGAATTTATATTTCAACGTTTATAGTCCGTTTTCTTTGGATTGAGTGGTTTTTCTTTCCTTTCCTGTCTGCTAGCTTACAATGCTATTTTCGTGGTATCGCAAGTGTAAAATTTTGCCCCTTCTTTTCGGTTTAATTGTTTTCTGTTCTTAGTTTTATCGGCTGAGGGGTCTTATATTGTGTCGTTTGACGAGCGTAAACAGTTTTTGCTTGCGTGTGGGTTTTTTGAGGGAAAAGAGGACTTGAACGTTTTTTTATTAGCTTCAATTGTTGAAATGCTTTTGTTTTGCTCGAAGGCTTTCTGCTTGAGGTGTTTTCTGCTTGATTACAGCTTGGTAAGCTTTCGTCCGATGCTAGTTTCGCGTGGTGTTTTCGGCATTATTACACTTTGATAAGTTTCGTCTGATGCTGATTTCGTCCGATGCTTTTGACTTGACGTTTTTTAGAAAAATAATCTTTATTCTGATAGATCTAGTATACATACTACTTATAGAATTTAGATATTTACACAAGCTACTACTTATAGAATTTAGATATGTACACAAGCAAAGCTTGTGTTATGGTATGAACTCTCCTTTTTTCCAACCTAAGTCGCAATTATTCTTGCGCTGCAAATGTTTTGCGACAAAATGTGTTCATTTTGATCAATAACCAGCTAGCTATTCATTACAGCCAATGCTAAGGATATTAACACATGACTATTATATAACAAATAGCCTTTTAGCTTCAAGGTATCATGGATCTGCAGCGTAGAGGTAGGAAAGGAGGCCCGCAACAAAATAAGAGGGTTCGAAGCTGGGCAGGGTCGGATGTTAATGAACTTTGTCGTATACTATTTCAAAATGCGTCCGCTCTATAAATTGAGACATGTTAGGTGGTAAATTTCTATTTTTTAGAAATTACTGGTGCTGCTAATGCTTCATAATTGGCTTGTGTCACTTAGCAATTATGTAGATTCATAATTGGCGTGTGTCACTTACGAAGTTTTGTAGGCTCATAGTTTTATTCATTCAGTTTTTCCCATTAGCGTTATCGGTCATGTTTTTGCTTGTGTATGCGAAGTGCAACTTCGCCTCTGTGTTTTATGATGTGTCGCAAGAGGTTCGAAGCTCAGTTCCGCTTCTCTGTTATTTTCTCCAGATGATTTTTTCAGTTTCATGGTTGTCGACTTAATCTTTGTCGGATTAGTTTTCAAATTCTGTATTGCATTTTGCACACACTACTTAATCAGCTATCGTGGAGCCTATGTGGCAATTGCATGCAATTTTCTATAATATGTTTTTTTTGGCGAAAATTTCCCAGCCCATTGACTGTCAGCCCATTTCTGGAGAGTTTCAGCCTAGTTACCGATTTTTTCCCCTTAAAATGTCCGGTAGTACTCTGAGATTCACTGTCAAAAAACAGAAAATTTTTTTAAAAAATTTACAGGTGGGGGGAGGGGGGCAAAAGAGTCGTGTTTGTGAAGTGCAGCTTAGTCTCTGTGAATATAATTATAACCCGATTATTGGTTAAGTCGGATGAGATTTTATAAAAGAACGAATTTTGATCAAGATCAAAAGTTTGTTCATTACCGATATTTGACGAAAAATGATGATTGTTGTAGGAACTACACTGAGATCGATAGAAGAAGTGACTTCTAGCAGACACAACAAGAGTTACTACATCATCCTCATCTTTCAAATAGCCGCCTGCTTTCTCGTCTCCTCATTGGTAGTCAGACTAGCCAATCAGAATCTAGATAGCAAACTGCAACAAGTCACCACGAGTGGTGCAAACAACAGCGGCGGTGGAAATAATGGGGGTGCAAATGTAATTAGCAATGGGGGAGGGGGGAGCAAACAGGCGGTGGTTGTGAAGAAGAAGCAGTGCAAGCAGAGTCCTCGTGTCACTGATGATGAAGACGACGAAGATGAAAGTGATGACGACGAAGGTGACAGAGAGACTAAAGAACTCTTAGGTGGCGGGGGTTCGTCAGGAAGTCGCACCTCTTCGAGTCTCTCTTGCAGCCACAAATCTAATTTATCTTCCAGGCCAAATGGAGTCTCAAATGTAGTGTTTAGAGAGGACATGGTGTGACAGTAGTAGTGTGCAGAATACTGGTGTAGTCCTGTAAATATAGTTTTATATTCCTCATTTCTTAATTTGGACCTGTGTAACTCATTGAGCAACTATTCCGCTCCTATTGTTTAGTCATAATTTATTGAGTTGAAATGTCTTTCAGATTTGCTGAACGGTTCAAGGCAAAACCTTGGAAGGTAGAAGTTAAATTTGAATTACTATTTTGGGGGAGACAAAAATTGAGAAAAATTTCTCTACAATCGTTTTCAAGTCACACAAAAAATCACCTTTTAGTAATTGTTTTTTTTTTTCATTACAAAATTAAATACTGGCTTTAAATGATATAATTTAGTTGCTCAATTCCAGCAAAATGTCTATTTATAGTAAAAATTGCTGTAAATATTTTTATTACTCTGTTGAATTAGTGGTAACTTGGATTTGAATTAAACACTTCCCCATACATGTTTTAAAAGCTAATGAACTCACTAATTAAGCTTGCGAGGGACTCTGTTTTGTAATCGGGGACCAGATTTTCTTCTATTGTACAGCATTTTCAAATCTGCAAGAAATTGAACTTGCTCTTTATAAAAGATCTTTTACTTCGACTCTTTTCCAATCCCCCATATTTCAATTTTTATTGTTGTTGTACGTGTGAATATGGCTAAACGCGTGAAGTTACGATTCAAGTTATGAAGAACAAAACTGTTCACGTTTGTTGGTTTGTTCACATGCATGTATCCTTGCATTATGACGAGGATAAAGAGTCGGTGAACGTAGTTCAGGCTCTAATTAAGGTCGTGCTGATTTTGTTCTGTTTTTAGGTAGCCATTGCACTAGCCAGCTTGCGAGCGTTAGTGTTTTAGTACGAACCTTCTTTTTTTCTCAACCTAATTCGCCCAACCTTGTAACAAACCTTGTAACAGCAGACTTCTGAAGACACAGGCACTGTAGTAGCGATAATCTGTCTTGCCATTAATTTTTTAAAACTTGTGTGAGTGTCTTGAGTGGGACTTGAAACTTATCTGTACGAGTTCTCAATTTTTTGGTATGATACATTTTTTTTTCAGTACAATGTCTGGTATGCTCATTTTTTTGGCTTCACACCGTTTACTTGCATAAGTGATGCTTGCGAGCATTGTCTTATTGTACTAGTCCACTTTTCCCAATTCAACTCAATAAAATGGTGCTCATTTTGGTAAAACTTTTGCTGCTTAGCCTAAGCAAAGCACAGGCAATTTGATAGCATGTGCTTATCCGCCTTATTGGTGGCCATAGTTTTGACAAACTCAAGACCACATGGTGTAGATGTGAGGGAGGCTTTCAAATTGGGGTTAGATTTCGGCTCGTCGAGAAAGTTTTCTTTTTCAAGGCTTAGCTTTACATTTTACACGTTATTTAGTTTTCGAGGGCAAGCTTTCGGCGCGTTGTCGCTTGTGTTTGCGAAGTACACCTTCGCTTCTGTGTAAGATTTTTGCTATGCTCTGTTATCGTCTTTTTTTTACTCGCCATGTTTTTCAAACTCTACTTTATTCAAGACCAAACTGTTGGTAGATCTATTATTTCGAACTTGTTTTTGCTCAAACAGTTTCGTTTTTTTTCTCGGTGAGACAATCTGACTGACTAGCAAGAAGACACGTTGGCTATACGAACACAATTGCCATTTTGAAAAAAAAACGAGCCGAAATAACCATTAGCGATGAAAAGAACACCTAGAAAAATCGAATCGAGAGAACCTTGAATTGTGAATAAATCATACCAGCTTTGGTAAACAAGCTAACTTGAATAAGCGTTTTAAACTTGTTCTTTTCCTTTCGAAAGAATCGAACTCGACTTGGTACAGTGCTTCTGCGTACTTAATTTTGCGCGGAGAAAAAATAATTTTGTATTATTCCATTTATATTATCTGTTAATGTTTTTCATCGGCTTACTTTCTAAAGCACGGGTTTTTTCTAGTAGACAGTTAATTAATTTATCTGCAAAGTTTTATGTGGAATATGTATTTTTTCGTTGCGATTTTTTTTCGATTGCGGTTTTGGCAAATGCTATCGGCTTAGTCAACTTATTTTGCGTTGTTTCGAGGGCAAAATGTTTCATATGCTGTAATATTTCAGTACGGATGATCGTAAAAACCCAAACTGTTGGTAAAAACCCAAAAAACCCGATCAGTCGTGGTCAAGTGGGTTAGGCACATCTCTCTTAACACGAGGGTCATGCGTTCGAATCCCGCTTCGGTCACGGCTGGAGGGGTCCTAGTGTCATCCGCCTCCTCAAGGTGGGACCAGCTGCGGCAAAATGGATAACATCTCCCCCTCCCCCACGGTTGGTCCTGCACTGAGCAGGCCGGGGGCAAATAAAAAAAAAAATCGTAAAAACCCGCACTACTTGACGCTCAATTTTTTTAATGACAACACTTGGTTTCGGCGCAACAGGGATTGACCCAAATTTTTTTGCAAGACTTGTAGAGGTATTGGTGACATTTTAAGGAGTAATGAACGCCTTGAAATGCTGTAATAACTACATTAGTTTATATTAATGCATTTATATGAATACACTTAGGTATGTGTGCACTTTTTGAGTTCAATTGAAGGTCATCTGCTGAAAGTTAGGTAAATAGACTCTTCAAATGCGAACGTTTAAATAGCAGGAAAAAACGTGAGTGACTTCTTTTTTCGAAAGTGGAATTCAACTTTTAGATTTCTCAGTGAAATAAAAACTTTACCAATTAATTCAGTTTTTTTTCAAATTGGGTTAATTTCATCAAAAAAGTGCTGAACGTAAATTTTTCTTCACATTCAAAGTGCTTTAAGAGCATATATATTAACTGTGCATACCAGTTAGTAATGTGACAACTAGGCATTTGATCAAATTATCATGCGGCATTTTATTCGAAGGTTAACTGTCGTGAATGTCCGAATCGTATCCATTCCTCCGTTCGTTTTTCATCTGTTTATCGACTCCGTGAACCGACGCTGAATAGCGTCATACAACATGACAGAATCAGAAGTACGAAAATGACCGCGAAATATATGGCGGCTTTAGCCCATGGGTTCATCCCAGCATTTTTGTCTACACAAATATTTATTTGTTGAAACTCGGATTCTTCCGGGAGAGGATTTGAAACTAATGTCCACATTGAAATAATTTAGAAATGCAAGCATATTATGTGGCGAAATTTTGATCTGAATTAGCTCCCAAGAAAATTAAACTGTTTGTTATTCAGAGCAACAAATTGAACTGCGTTGCTGTCATAATAAAAGGGGAGGCAACAGTACACCCGATATTGCACATGGACCTAATAGCAACATGCCTGTGTAGTAGGTGTCATAGTTTATGCTAATAGATTAGCTCACCTTTGGGTACTTGGTGCTCCAGGAGAAGTTTGTCCGAGTTGACTCCATTCAAGGTGGAATAGATCTGAAATCACAAATAATCGCTTTGTTGTCTAAAAGAGGCTTTTGGCTTTTGCAGTGGGATTCCTATTCTCGCATAGGTAACAAAATTACAGAAAATTTCTACGTTTAACAAAGTTTTTTAAATAGTAGTGAATTTGATCCCATATTTCATAATAACATGCTCGCGTAAGGGGCAAGGGTTCTCAATGATTTTGCCACCGTATGTCTGAACAGTTTGAAGTAGACTGAAAATGTACTTGGAAGGTGTAGGTAGTTCCTGGACGCAGTCCACTGATCAAGTGTGAATTCTTAGGGCTGGTGTTGTTTGCACCCGGCAGCACTGAGTTGACGATGGTGAATGTATCAACGGGACCCTTACTAATCATCACGATGTTGATGACACTCTCGCTCACCGTGTGGATCTCAGCCGTTGGCTTTTCAGGCTCTGAAACAAGTAACCCAGGAACGTTTCGCCCTTCCTTTAAGTCATGCGGATTCAATACCGCAAGTATTTAATTTTGTAATAACCAATATACTGGCAAGTTTTGGACAGAAAATCTCACTTGTGGTGATTATGATCACATCCGAGAATGAATCCGAGGCAGTGCCACTGCAGATGGCCTCCACTCGTGCAGTGATTGTATACCTGGTCCCTCCAATCAGGCTGTCAACACTTAACAAACAGAATCAGTGAGGTTTCCGAAGCTTGTGGGGAAGCGAACTGTCCTCAGTAGCACGAATTTTATTTCCTCGGTCATTCGCCTTTTTTATAATTACGCTTGCGATCAAATCAGAACAGACTTTTTTAAGGCTATTTTGTTAAGCAGAATCAATGAATCATTTGATAACTTGAGATTTGTGGTCATGAAATTCAGTGTCTTATTGTGCACATATGGCGCAGAGGCAACAAACAATGCCTGGGTTGCAACAGGTCGAGGTTTTGGAACCCGGCCAGTACCTGTTCTTTTCGAAAATTGAAAATTTTTTCAATGTATTTTGGTAATCGTGCAGTTAATTTTCCATTACGATTTTAGTAAGTTCTTAAAAAAGGATTTTATTTTGTCTTTTCATTCTCCTCTTTGTCAGAAAAAACAATGAATAGACTCTTGTCTTTATCCTTGCAATTAGCAAGGTGTTGCAATCGAGTCCTGGACTTTGTTCTCCGTAAATAACTTGGTTTAAAGAATGGTATAAATTAGAAATGGTAAAGTTAGGTTCAGTTCATATTAAATTCAAATAATTAAAGCTTATGATTTGTCTGCTTATGTTTTGTCGGCTTAGTTGACACATCATAGATTTGTTTTTTTTCTATGCGCAATTTACATTGTAGTTGCTCTTGATTTTTTATTTACTTCGGCTGCTTGTAATTTCTTGACTTCGTTTTTTTTTTCGCTTGAAACTTTTTTCTGCCCAAATGATTTCGGATTGTTTTTAATCGGCTTATTGACCTAATTTAGAATCGTTCACGTGAAACGTAGTTTTTATGGTCACCTCTGGAGTGTACAAGTTGCTAGAACTTCGTGGCAACAATTTTTTCGGTTTTGTTTTCTTTTTTTTCGGCTTGATTGGTCTCGGTCTAAATTATATTGGCTTAATGGCTTCATATTGCATTCATCGATGAGCGAAAAAATTGTTTGTTGGCTTGTGTGTTTTGTGGTTGAGGGGGACTTAAAAGTTTTTCATTAGTCCTAATTTTTATATTGTTTGGCTTTTGTTTTTTTTCTTTTCCTTTTTTTGGCTTAGTTTTGGGACTACATTATACCGGCTTAGTGGCCTAATACTGTGTCAATTCACGAGCAAATAAAGTTAAGTGTTGAAGGCGAGGGGGACTTGTTAACTTTTTATTAGCCCTTGTCTTGTTGATTTTTTTTCAGCTTACGGGGTTTCTGCTGATTTATTTTCGGCTTTGTGAGATTAGTATCGGAAGAAAAATTACCACGCGGTAACAGTCTTTTCAAAAGCAGTCTGATTCATTTTGATAGATACAGTTTTTTTCAAATTTTCGACTTGGCGGCTTTCTTGTTTTGTATCGCAAGTGGTGCGAAGCGCTGCTCCACCTCTGAGTCAGAATTGTTTATTTAGCGTGGTTTGAGTGGGTCCATTTTTTTCTTGAAAAAGAGGAAAGGACTTGTTCGCCGAGGACGTTCTCCTGATTTTGTACAATCAGATATGGGCTTTGCCATCAAGCTCAGCATGGGGTAGATTGGAGAACAACCATCAAGTTTTGCGTGTGGTTGTTTTTTTTGCTTCAGTAAATGAATTACCAAATTTCGTGTAAATCTTTGCGCAACGTTAGAAGGCTCCCAGTCATTTCCGCCCCAAAAACACAGTAATGTGTTCCCTAAAAGCAGTCAGTTCCGCCTCAATGTCAATGCACGTAATAAAACCTAATTAAAGCGAAATGAAGAGAAGAGTTTTGGGGCGGAAATGACTGCTTTGGGGCGGAAATGACTGTTCACCACTTACACGTATGAGTTCTGAGTGAGTCCTGAATGAAGAATGTATCCATCAATTGAGGAACTGAAGTCATAAGTGGAAGCACCGGCAATCGAGTTCCAAGAAACGGTCGCCTGACTGCTGCTCACGCCCGACACATTGAACGAAGAAGGACGACCTAAAGTTAAACATGGTGCTCATGTTCAGCTCATGACGATCATGTTTATCTTATGGCTGGTTAGACAAATTAGCCCTCTTAGGTTTGAAAGTTTGATCGATATTTGTGTCATGAAAGCTGAGGTGATCATGTGAAGAAAGACTGACCAAGTCCTGATATAATTTACGTTTTTTTTCGATTTAGCAGTTTCTTTTTTTGTTATTGAATTTCTTAAAGCTTTCTCATGGAGTTCATAAAAATAGATTAATTCGGAGTAAATTTAACCAATTCGGTTTTAAATTCTTTTCAATGATAGGCTGAATCTTTCGTGAGATAAGATGAAAATCCACAAAAGTTGGAGATTTTTTTCTAGAAGTGAAATTGAGGGTAACTAGTTCAGAAACTTACCTGAGCACGAAAAAATGGCTCTTGTGTTAAGTAAAAGTAACAGCAAATTGCTGATGAATTTTGTCATGTTGCCTATAGAAAATCTTGGCTATAAAAATTTGAATGGTCTCAAGTCATGCAAAAAATTTTACATCGCGCCTACTTCAAAGAAAATTCGTGCGTTTTTAACTATGCTTATTGTTTAAAATCATAAAAATTTGAAACGCGTCGGTCTGTTTCTGGATTTTTTTTCCGACTTCAAACTTCACTCAAGCTGAAGGATAAACATATTAGCGTAGTTCTATTCTGAGAAACAGCTCTTTTCATGTTTATGGGCTTTTCCTAGGGTACTTGACAAAGACTGTCATCGAGTAGAATTTTTTTTGCGTTCTTCCTCTCATTTTTTCTCTGTTAGAAGAAGAAGAAGAATTTATTTATCCGAAATCATTTAGAAACAAACTACAATAATCTGTGTATTTTCAACTGAATACAAACAATTGATATCGAACCATTCAATTCAGTACATGAAATTGGAAAAGAATAGAACAAAGGGGCATTGCACTCCTACTTAAGGTCTACCCTTTATTCAAATGAATTAAAGTTATTATAAGAAAAAAATAATGAAAAAAAAATCGAATTTTTGAAGCGGTTTTTAAATACTTGGAGATTTAGCAAAATTTAGTAGGTCAGGCTGCTATCTATTTAGTAGGTCAGGCTGCTATCATGCACTCAGGTCAGGCTGCTATCTATTTTTTTAAAATAATGTCTCAATAACCTCAACAATTACTGGATAAACAAAAAGGGGAAAAATAAACAAAAAATCGAATTTTTCTTTTTTTTTGTAATTATACTAAGAGTTGGAAATTAAATATAAATGAAGGATAAAAGTTGAGGTAAGACGCGCTCATTTACCTTAATGATCATTTAGCAATATGCGCTAAGCATGATTTTTTTTATTATTACTTTTTTTGAATGAAATTTTCGTTTTTCGATAAAAGTTTCGATATCTCGAATTGAGTCTGCTGCGGTTGTGTTGTATCACAAAAACGGCAAAGTTTCCCTTCGCCTCTGTGTTGATAATTACATTCAGCTTTACATATTCGACAGGGGTTCAAAACGAGCTAACAAGGTCCTCTTGATTCAGCTCCACTTAAGAATAACCTGGGTGGAAGCATCGTTCAGAAGTGAAAAATGTCTATATATTTTTTCATGCGTAATACCAAGTTTTCCGATTATTTAGACGCTTTGCTAGTGATCTTTTTTGTTTCTTTTCACGCTCAATTTTGATTTTTTTGCGGTTTTATTCAGTGCACTGCACTCCTTTTGTTGAAAGGAAGGCAAACTCCACTATCGAACAGCAAAAGTGTTAAGTTCACGAAAAACGTGATCGACTTCTAATTTCGAAATCGGAATTTAATTTTCTGATTTCCCAGCGAAATAAAAACTTTCCCTATTGATCCAGTTTTCTCAAATTTGGTTACTTTTTTATCAAAAAATGTCAAACACAGATGTGAGTAGTAGATGATGAGGCTGATCAGGGGGGGTTGCATGGCGGACCCCATGTATTAAGATACGTTATAGATTTTCGGTCCGCCATGCTATGTAATAAGATTGGGTATAGAGTCTACAATGTATTAAGATAGGGAATACCGATGGTAAGGTTTCAGTGTGATGGTAAGAGAATTTTCTTGCGAAAATGTCTAATTTTTTCGCAAAAATCTCGGCGCGCGTTACCTAATTGGGAACAATTAATTGTTAATTACGTGTAGATTGTAGAATTAAGGTTATGTATTTAGTTTTTTTTGGTTGATGGTAAGTCAATGGTAAGAGTTTTTGTCCAAAAACTTGGAATTTTTATCAAAACACGATAAGATTTTGTTTAATTTGATCTAATAAAAATTTATTAGATACTTTTACTTTCTATCTATCTGAATCTATTCTGAACCTACAGAGGCTTCGAAAAATTCAAATTTTTTGAGAAAAAATTGCAAAAATTTCAAGTATTTGGAAAAAATGGCAAAAATTTCAAGTATTTGGAAAAAATTGCAAAAGTTTCAAGTATTTGGAAAAAATTGCAGAAATCTCATAAATTTGGTTAATGTATTGTTGTTTTTGATCTAATTTTAAACATACTTTTACGTATTGATTTTAAAAATAACCTAAGACTGTATTTTAATTGGCATTATGTTGAGACAATGATACAAAATTTTGAATAAAAAAATGACTTTCCACAATTTTTTCTCAAAATATTGAAATACGATGAAGTTTACCTTAATTTGAGCTAAATATTTGGTTATACAATGCTCTAAACACCGAAAAGATTCTTAAAAGTAGCAGAATCAATATTGAAACTTCCGGAAAACAGTGAAATTAGTCGTAATTTTCGAGAAGGTAAAATAAAAATTCATCAAATTTACATGAAATTTTCCATTTCGAACCTTTTATTTTGGTTTTTAACTGTTTTTTTTTTGTCCAGTTCAGGGATTATTTTTACGAATCTCAATTCAAATGAACATTAAGGGCAATATTCTATGATATTTCTAAATCAAACTCCATAATTCAACTCCTCCTCATTTTTTTTCTCATTGAATTACCCAAATTTGTACAAAAATTACAACTTGTGAGAAATTTTTCATGTTAAAAATTAGAAATTTCAGATTAATGATCAAAAATTAACAGTTTATTGCTAAAATTGTTTAAAATGGGATAAATGTTTCTTAAAAGTTTATTCGATATTGGCTCAAATTCAACAAAAACTTCTTCATAACTGATGATTATCTCTCTGTTGCTTCTGCAACATAACTCATGATTTTCCGTAGAGTTTTTCCATGTTTTAAGGTTCTTCTTGCTTTTTGCTTAATACATGTTTTCGCTATTGAACACACTTTACTAGAAAATTTAGTCAAAACTGGAGAATTTAGGAGGAAAATAGTATCAATTGAACGAACAATTTGCTGGCAGAGATGAAATTAGAACTGATACCGTATGATTATTACAATAAAAATTGTAAATATCTTCTTCAAGGTTCCCCTGTTCAGTTGCTATCGTAAACTATTTAAGCAAAAATACAACTTTTAAGATCAATTACTATCACTTTTCTTGCAAAATAGTTATTAACTCGCTTTTTATTCTTAATTTATGATGGAAATTTTCTCAAAAATATCCAAGTGAGAAAGAATTGGTGCTAGTTAAAGCATTCAAAAATACATGTTCAAAATGAGAATATAAAGGTGTTTTTCTACGATCTAAGAACAAATTAGGAGCAGCTCTATTAGTTATAATCTGAAAATCTCCGGAAATACGCAAGGGAACCTAGTTTCTAACATCTACAATATAAAAACTTCTGAAAGAGCGAGTCTCAAAAAATTGATTTAGCAAAGCAAATCAAGGTGTAAACTGGAACAATTGTGTAATCTACCGACTTCTATTAAGAAAAAACTATATAGTAAAATTGTAGTAATGTATTGTATATAGTGTTGTATATTGTATGTAGTTTTGTGTATTGTATATAGCAAGGAAAAGTAGATCTTGAAAGCAAGTTTTCGATTTATGCTTTATGTATCTTCTTCCAAAAGATGTCGAACTGGGTTTGCTTCTCAAAAATTATCCTCAAAACATTTGATCTTTCATATAAAGTACCTAATATATCAAATGATAACAATTTTTTCTAATGAATTACGCATAAATATAAGACATTGAGAATTTTTATGTCGGATTTTTTCTCAAGATATACTTTATAAGCTAAATTGTAGTAAAATTATCTCAAATCTAAGGAATAAATTGAGTTTCTATCTCATTTTAGCATTGTCTCAGTATCTGCTTCATCTATCTACCAAATGAATCCAATTTGAGCAAATTTTTACTTGAAAATTGAATTTTAGATGGAAAAATGTATCGTTTCAACGAACGTTCAATAATCCGAAGCTGAATTAATACCATAAATCCTTCACTAAAAAGCTTTAAAGGATTTTCTCAACCTCATAACTGTATAATGCTGTTTTAAATCTGAATTTCTATTTTAGACTAAATTTTTAGTTGGAATGATGTATATCATTATCTTGAAACTTTCAAAGTTTAGCAAAATATACATTTTTTCCAGGTCGTTTATCAATTTTTTTTCTGAAATCATCAAAAAATCAATAGAAAAACATAATTCTTAATAAATCAAACCACATTATCAGCTTAAAAAGCTCTGCTCTATGAACTTTTTTACAAGCACTAAACAAGGAAAACTTTAAAATAGTAACTACAAAAAAACCTTTCAATTAGTTGCTGTTTTCCAAATATCCAAGTTTTACAATTTTTAGGCGAATACTTAAATACTCATTAGCATATGTTATGCACTTTACTACAAATTTATCACAACCAAGTCTCCGCAAGCTTGCAACCAAGGGAGTTTTTACTGTTGATTAAAAGTTTTCGGATCAAGTTCCATGGAAAGCTTCACGACGATTTGAACTCAATTTTTGCTCTCTTTAACATCAATCAAAACCTTTGAATAAAAAAATAAATGACAGTTCAGGTAATGTAATGAAAACACTGTATAATTACTGACTAGATTTGTTACAATTGCTGAGACTTTTCAGATTCAGTAAAAACTAATAATCATAGTAATTTCTAAGTTTTTCAAAAAAAAACTTAGAAATTTTACCTTCTCTTGAAGTGTGTTTGGATTCTGCTGAGCACATAATTTAATATTATGCTGAGAATGCTTCTTCTTGTGAAATGATTAGCGAGTTCCTCGCTGCTATAAGTATAAAAATTACTGTTAGAACTCTTCAAAACACCACATGTTCTACGATGTCTTGATGCATCTTTGTGAGTGTATTCCCTGCCACATTCAAGACATGCAACTCTTTCGTTTCTATTGAGTGAAGGCATCTCAATACTAATGAAAAATTAAATGGGAGATTTAAATTGTCCCAAATTTTTAGATAAGGTGAGTTGAATAGCCTCAAAAAAATAAATAAAAGTAAATAAAAACAGCAAACTTATTAACCAATTGTTTTTAACGAGAAAGAAAATCAGAATGGATATGCTATTTAGCCTAGCTGAAATAAAAATCATCCAATCTAACCATGGAATTTTTAAAAGTATCAACCAATCAGAATCGAGCATTAATTACAAGGAAACTTTTATCTTTTCTGATATCAAACAATCAGAATTGAGATTCAAT